AGTCACCGTTCATTCACACGAAAGCCCGCAAAAGTTTGCACCATAATATAATTTACTTTCAATGGGTATCTTACTGCTTAGTAAGCATACAGAGATTCCCAGTCTTTGGCGATTTCATTTGAAACGAGTGGGACTCAATTCAAGTTGGGAGTTTTCAAAAGGTGAGGAATTCTCCTTCAACCTTTCAAAGGAAACCAGCAGCACAATCCTAACCACCACTATTCAGAAGTAAGTCCTATTGACTTCAGTGGGACTTGCCGGCAGGTAAGTGGGGTTAGGATTGCAGCCTGGCTGCAGTCCTATGAACACTTGTCTGGGGATAAACCTCACTGAGCTCAGTGGGGCCAGACATGCATAGGATAGCACTGCAAGAATGCCTCCTGCGCATGCTTACTCTGAAGTAAATGACACTGTGTGCACTGGGACTTACTCCCTAGTAAACGTGCTTGGGAGCTGCAACATAATTCTGGTTTTTGTTTTTAAATAGGGTCGAACTATAACCCCGCTCAGTTTTGAAACGTCAGCAAGGATTGATACTCGATCAAAGGTGCCCTGAATTTGGAGCACCCCTTAAAAAGAAGAGCCAACTGGCACCCCTAATTTGGTTCTACTTAAATTACAACCTTTAGGAGTCCCCCATTCTCACATTTAGACTGTTTTGCAGGAGATCAAAATAAATGTATCTTAAGAGGATGGTGGTGGTGATGGCGTGTCACTTCTGAGGGGGTTTTAAGACTACCTGTGTCTTTCTTGCTGAGATGCCTAGCCTTAATGACGCCAACTGCCTGAGAGACGTAGAAGCTGAGTGAGCTTCACCTTTTTACGGTTAAACGAGGATTATTTTGCCCTTGCTGGGCCCCTGTCACTGCTAGGATTCAGCACCTGCGTGCCAGATTGACAGATAACAGGGCTGGGGAGAATCATGCTGTGATTAGCTCTTCTTTCCGCCCCCCCCACCCCGACCTCCTTTTCCTTACCTGGTCAGTGACATCGCTCTGGGAATCTTCACCTGGTCAGTTTCAAAGCTGGAAGGGCAGGGGGAGCTATGAGCCAGATCGCAGGCTCACTTGAACAGCGTGCCTTTCGACTGGACCACTTCCGCGCACCATTTGAGGGGTCCCAAGAGGGTGGGAGATGAAAAAGGCACAACTGAACAATATAAATCGATCAGTTTTATTCTAAAGGGGAAGTTTTCAATAAAAGGTCTAAGGAGTGTTATTTAGTGTGGCACCTTAAGCACTCCCCGCCCCCCCCCCCCAGGTCAGAGAAATCCAGGACGATTCCAGTACATAGCTCTTAAATACTTGGAAAGAGCTCTTTAAATTCCCCCTCTCCACGTTAAGTCCAAAAAGCTGAAGGGGTGTGTGTGTGTGTGGAATGAATGAGGATAACTGCTTAGGTCAGAATACTGCATGTCTGCCAGGTCTGCTCAGAATTAAATCTTACTGAATTCAGTCGCCTTACCCGCAGGTAACGGGGGCAAGTGGGTTACTAGTCTCCCTTTCCAGTCAATAAGGCTGAGTTGTAGATACAGGAGTGACACTGGACAGAGAAGAAAACTGATCGCCTTTTTAAAACAACACCATCCCTTGTTTACAAAAAGCGTGTTTCATCCTCCAGACGCCAAGTTAAACACTTTAAATACTTTTTTTTACAAAAACATTAATCCGAAAGGATGTGCGATCGTTATGCACACTTCCTTGTGAACAAGCCCCGTTGGACTAAAGTGAGGCCCATTTCTGAGCAAACATGCGCTGTAAATCGCTTAGATGCCCCATTAACTTTGTGGACCACGCCATAAAAAGCTTATAAAATCCCGGAGAGGGAAATCCAAATCGGAGGTCAATGCTTGAGTTTCCGGTGTATGGAGCTTGATTGAAATGGAGTTAAGTGTAAATGTAGCTGGATCGTAGCTATTTTAGCTGGTACCTAAGTGAGTTCCCTGACTTCTGTGGCATTTGACTTCTGAAGAAGCACGCTATACTTAGAATTGCATGTGGGGCACAGTCCTGTCCAGCTGACAACCTGTTCATATCTTGTTTGGAACGAAAGTGGACGAATGGAGAAAGGAAGCTAACACGTGCCCCCTGAACACATTTTATGGAAACCTCCATTGAAATAAAGGAGGTTTTCCTTCAGCGCAATGGAGACAGGGATCAGCCTATTATTTGAGAGAAAACCCATGAATATTAACTTCATATTCTGTAAAACACCGGGAACGTCAGTCAGTGCAGAAAAGGTGGCATACGATTTTATTTGTAGTTTAAAAAGTAACGAAGCAGTTAAAAACAGCCGTCTAGTGGCGCCTTTAAAAAGTTGCATACGTATTGTGGCATAAGCTTTCGTGGATTTAGATTTGTTTTTCCAGTATCTTTGCATTGTAGTTTGCCTTTCGCTATATCGCTGGGCTGCCATCCTAACTCCGTTTACCTGAGAGAAATCCCCATTTACACCTGAGCAGACATGGCTAGGACTGCGCTGCAGACCCGCGCGCTTCCAGACTCTAGTGAGGAATACAAATTCAGGACAATAAATAACACCTTTGATGGAAAGCTTATTTGTCTCTAAGCAGGCGCGCTCAACCCTTTTGCTTTAGCAAATCCCTTAAAAAGAAAGATGTGCATGCAGAACGAGAGAGGTGTTTTAGGGTTTGTTAAGGGAAGCTAAGATCCAAGAGGATTGTATACTCAGCCATAATAAATGTGTTCTGCTATAGATGCCACAAGACCCCGTTTTTATACTCTACTGCAGAGAGCGCAGGTAACTTTCAAAGTTCTACTTAGGGAGTCTATTCCATTCATGTCATCGCTCTTAAGAGTGTGATTGGATTTTATCTGCGCAGATTGTAGGCACAATGGTGAGTCTGGCATTATCGTAGGTTACTGCGAGCCATTTCTGCAATTTTTTGTTTTAAACTGTTAATCTTGTCAGTATCTTTCCCTTTTTGTAACTGTCCCCATCCCAGGAATTCCGCGGTACGTTAGGGGAAGGGCGTTAAGCACAAAGGACGCTTTTGTTCGTTCGCAAGCTTAAATTGTTAATATTTATTATTATGCTAAGTCGAGATTTCTCCATCTAATCAACCCACGCTGCAAACACAGGAGGCTGCCGTTAAGGCCACTTGCCGGAGATTAGTTCTACCGTAGGGCGAGCTCTTAGCATCCGCCCAGGCTTGTACAAAAATCAGCTGGGGAAAGAAAACCCCGCGCTTCGAGTCAACGAAAAACAAAAGGGAGTGTGGTGGCACCTTGAAGGACTAGCAGATCTGTTGTAGAAGTGGGCTGTAGACAGAGGAAGCGTGCGCGGTGCGCCACAAGGTACTGTTCTACGTTTGCTACAGCAGGGCTGCCGAATAGAATTTTTGCAAACCGGTTTACCACCATTGCTAGGATTCTATTTCTTTACAAACAAAGGTCTTCCCCGGGATTTTGTGCGCCTTACTCTTGTGTAAACGTGCATAATATTTGCAGTCTTCTGAGCCAGAAACGCTGCCCTTTTCTTTCCTAGTCAATGAGTTTAGGATCAAGGTAATAGTCCCATTTGATGTCCGCGGGCTGATAATCCAGACCATGGGCATATTTGTAAGAAAGACCCAGGAATCGTGAACAGTTGCTCCTGTCTCAGTTGGGCCAGGTCCCAAATAACGATCGTCGTTTCTTGCCCAGGGAGGGAAAAAAATCTCATGTCATAATAAATCTGTCTTTAACGTACCGCAAAAATCCCTTGTTGTGTTTGTGGCAACAGCCTAAGGCTGCAAGTCTTTTGAGTATTTATCTAGGCGCGAGCCCCGCTGAACAGAGTGTCACTTACTTCCGAGTAGGCACTCATGGGATTATATTGTAACAAGCGCGCAAGATCCTAGGGGCCCAGCAAAATTAGTTACGGCGACCTAGCTTTGCATAGGATCAGGCTGCAATACGGCTCTTAACTTCGGCGGTAAAATGTGAGCCACTCGTAAACTATAAAAAGTAAAGGCAGCCGTCTCTGGGTGGCGGTGGTGGTTGGAATTCAAAAGCGGGTAATGCCTTTTATCAGACCAACCAAAATATCGTCAAGTGGCGATCCAAGCTTTCCTGGTTCCCCAGGGACAGCTTATCAGACGTAAGATGTTCTTGAGCAAAACAGCGGCAGCTAAATTGTGGTGAGAAGCCGGCCTGGTGGAAGGGTATTGCTCTAGTTTATGGGTTTCGAGATTCAAACACGACGCACATCAAAACTAGACTTAAAAGTAGCGCGCTGTGCGCAAGGCCTTTAAAAAAAGGAGCGGATGGCTTCGCAGGAGCAGGCGAACGACCCACATCAATTCCCTTTGTGGTTTCTCATCTAGCCGTGTATTCTGGGAACTATTAACACCTATGTTAGCTTCTCTTCTGTGACCCATAGCAAACTCCCCCTTCTCCCTTTTGGGGGGGGAGGTAGGCAGGCAGCCGGGGGCTATTGCTGGCTCGGTTTTCTTGTTCTCCGCTTGCTTGCTCTCTCTTTTAATGCTTCCCAGTTTCCAACTCTTTCCATCCGGTGGTTGGCTTGCTGTGCTGCCAGCATCCTCTTCTGGCCAACGAAGGGTTAACTTTTTTCTTGGCCTTTTAATTTTTTTTAAAGAAACAATATTTTGGAGACCCTTCCGCTTCTCAGCTCCAGCTCCAATCGTGCACGGCAGCTTGCAGCGCCTCCCGTCGTTTGCGTGCGCGCGCGCGCGCGCCCTGAGTAGACATTTGGCCCTTTCCCCGCCCCGTTGCTAGCCATGCGTGTGCGCCTTTGGGCAGCCTGGCGCTTTCCCAGGCGCGCGTGTGTGCGCCTTGGAGACGCTCCAAAGCCGAGAGCGCAAGCGGGGCGCGGCTTGCCGAGAAGCGGCTTGCGGCTCCTTCGCTATTGGCTAGCTTAGCGCCGCCTGCCAGGGGAAGCCCCCGCGTCCCGGGCCGTCCCTGGGGAGGAGCTATGCTAATGAGATTGCCATTAAGGGGAGCCGGTGAAAAGAGGCTCAGTCACTTACTTCCCGGGAAGTGAAGTTCTCTCCCCTAGTCTGCCTGTATGCCTGCCCATTAAAACAGCCCTTTGAAGGTGGCGGGGAAGAGCTGCTCTTCCCCCCCGCAGTTGCTGGATTAACGACTTTTGGGCTGGGACGCCCTTTTGTTTTATTTTTATTTTTTGCCCTCTCTGGTTTATATTTTAATTTTTGGGGGATACTGGACGCCATGTTGTGGAAACTAGCAGACAATGTCAAGTACGAAGAGGACTGTGAGGTGAGAGCTTAGGGCTGTGCACGGGGCTAGTCCTCAGTGGTTTGGCTGGGGCTTTCTTTTCTTGGACGGGAAACAAAAGGGGCAGGCGGTAGGCGCATCCGCCGGTGGAATGGGGGTGCTTGGATTGGAGCCTTTAAAGATGTGAGGATGGAAACAAGGGATTTAGAGAGAGTTTATTTCGAACAAAAAGAGGCCGCTTAGGCACTCTGGCCAGGCAGTAAATAATTGAAAATCGGTGGGGCTTGATTTGCTCATAAAGGAAAATAAGGCGCTAGTCCTGTTGAGGCATGAGTTGTAGAATTAATTGATCGAACTACATTTTAATGCCTTGGATGCCTTTATTGCATTCTGACTTTAAATTCAAAGAAAACCCTCTTGTGCGGGGCAGGGTGTGCAACAAGACATTATAGAATGGGGCACTCTAAAACTTAAAATTTGGTGCTTGGATCAAGTTAAGATGAGATGCAAGTTTGCATGGAGTGAGTCAGCTTCGCTGCGGGAGCCGACTAAGGTGTTTGTCCCCTAATGAGATAATGAACCCCAAGCATTTTTACGTGGAATTTGCGCAATAGGATGGCAGTGTTTGGCTGCTTTCTGCGCTCTGGACCGTTCCGAACTCGCAACTTAATGGTCCCGGACCTTGAATTGTGTGTTAAAATAGCAAGAACCTCCGAACAATCCTCTTTCTCTCTTTTGTATATGCATATGATAAAAAAGATGTTGCAACCAAGGTCATCAAAGCTGGCGAAGAGCGGAGAAGATGCCTCGGGGGGGGACGTGATTGGCACCTCCCCTCTCCGCTTTGGAGGATGTGGCTACTGTCCTAGTCGTAGACTTTCTCTGTAGTACCTAAGCAGGACCACTGAATTCAGTAGGATTATGCCTAGGATCTTCCTAAAAATCACCCAATATTTTTTCGTTTGTGTGTGTTTTTTAAAACCCCCAATTCCCGCTTACTCTAGAGTAGTTCTACTGAAGTTAGCGGGATTTCCCCCGAGAGAAACGGTTCCTTCAAGTATACAGTAGTTGGAGAACTCAAATGAGTCCCTGAGGGGCATTTTTCTTGTGCGTTGCACCCCCAGCAATAAAAACGCACAGCATGGTCGAGGTCCAGAGCTTGGAAAGCCGCGTTTGCGCAGCGTCTGGAATTCGTTCCAAGAGCGCGGAAAGTGGAGACAGTATCCTAAGCGGCTGCGGTTCGGTGCGCCCTTAAAGCCTGGCAGTCGCAATGCGCTCAGGCTGAAATGGCATTTTAGATAATTCTAAAACTGAGTGGCGGGCGACCCCCCCCCTTCCAAAACCTTCATTTTCCGACGGTAGTGGTCCTATCCTGGAAGTGAGTCCCCTGGAAGTCGTGGGGCTTTCTTCTGAGTAGACACCTCTGCGTGTACCCCTGTTTGAGCAGAAAGAAGTCCCTGGTCTCCCCAAAACTTCAGGACAGGGTAGATCTGCCCTCCCAGAAAACACTGAGCAGTGATTTCCCCCTTTTGTGCTCCGACGGCGCGGCGTTCAGGAAGGAGCGGAAACGCTTAATCCCCTCCGAGCTGCTCCTGCTCGCCGTTTTTTCCCCTCCCCGAGGTGAAAATCAGTGCAAACTTCCGCACGCTTTTTCGGCCGAGGTGCGTGCGTGCGCGCCCCGTCGGAAGTCCGCCCACGGCCGGGGGAGGGGGGCTGAAGGAGGGAAGAGCGAGCGAGCCAGCGCCGGAGATCTTCCCTCGGTGAGGCAAGCGCTCCAGCCTGTCGGACGGGTTCTGCCCAGCTCGGAAGGGAGGCCGCTCGCTCCTTCTTTTGCCATGCGGGGAGGCAGCGAGGTAGGCAGGAGGAGAGAGACAGAGGCCCCGGGAGGGGATAGCAGGAAGTCGGCGCTCTTGGCATCGAAGTGGCGCCCGTGCCCTCTGGGAAGGCTGCTTGGCCCGGTTCCTTTTCCTCCGGGGGCGGCGCAGAGAGAAAAAGAGATGGATGCCCATGCAGCCGAGTTATACTTCGAGGACGGCTGCCCGGAGGGTTTGGTGGGAACTCTGGCAGGGCTTCTTCCCCTTTAAATCTGTGCGCGGCGGGCAGAAGTTCAACCGGAGAAGCTTTGCACATTGCTCTTATCCACCCTGCAAAAAGAACCCTCAAAAATGTGAAGGGGGGAGGACAACGGGCTGGTGCCTAAAGTCACTTTTCGTGTGGTTAAATTACTCCGTCCCACTTTCTAGCCAAGGGCCTTGTCCCAACTTCAAGGGGGGGTGCGTAAGGGGGTTGGACTAGATGACCCTTGCGAGCCCTGCCAACTCTGCAATTCTATGGCTGGAAACTGGTGTGTTCCGATCCTCTCAAAGCCTTGTGAGGAGCTCGGGTTGCAGTTAATCCGGATTAATTAATCCAGAATAAGGAGAGCGCTTTTTCTTTTTTAAAAAGCCCTTTCGGGATTGCCCCCCCTTATATTCCACGTAGGGCTGCGATAGATTAGGAGAGACTATCTCCTTCCGCCACCCGCTTTTCATGTAAACGTTTCGTGTAAACCCATTTAGTATCGGAGCGCGAACTGTATTGCACTGGGAATTCAGGCCTTCCCTCCCAGCGATGATGCAGAAGGCTGCAGGAAAAGGTGCGATCCACAAGGCGCTCATGTAGGTGGAATTTGTTTGGGTGTTTTAAGGGACTCCCAGTAGCCTGCTCCTCTTTAACACGTCTGCCCCACAGCAATCGACGAGGCTGCTTGGCTTTTCCCAGTAAAGTGTGCACAGAACCTTTGCAGCAAGAGCCTAAACAGCTTTACTCGGGAGTAAGTCCCGTGTGCAGCGAGGCCTTCCTTCTGGCTGATTGGTGCACAGGGGGACGGTGGATTTGGAATCAAGGAGGCCACGGTTTGAGATTAAGTTGGGGGAGTTTAAAGGCCACGTTAGGACTTTTTATCCCCAGGCCAGTTACTGCAAAGTCCGCATCCCAATCCGAAATGGCCTTTTCTCGGGGAGGCGGGCTTCTGCAGTCTTTGTTGCGGGAGGGAGATCCCAGGGATTTGAAGTGATCCCCTGATCTCCTCGTGGAGCTGCGCCTCTTTTAAAATACACTTTTCGCTTCGGAGCGAGTCCCACATAAGGACAACGGGCAGTGCGAGCCTCTGGCATGTTTACTTGGAAGTAAATCCCTCTCGCCCTACTCTGCGTGCAGTGGTAAAGAGTGCAAAGGAGCGCAGCCGGAGTTGCAATCCTATACACACTGAACCTGGGGCTCAGTCCCGTGGATTTAAGTGGGACTGACTTCTGAGTGGACATGCCCAAGATTTGCCCTAAGGAAATGGCAGGGCCGCCTGGATAGATATCTGGAAGATGAGGTGTGCAACTTTCTCTCCCTCTTGAAATGAGGTCCGCGTTCGCTTCCTTCCTGAAGGCTTCGGTGAAATCCAGCATCTAAAAGTCATCCCAAGTGCGCTTTGGCTTACCAATATATGTGAAATCCTGAGCGCGCGTTCTAGACCGCAAGTCCTTGCTAAGCGTTGCTTTTCGCGTCTGTTTTGGGTGCCCGCGATAGGTGAGAGAGGAAAAAGCAAAGAAAACTCTGAGCGGGTACAGATTATGTCTCGGCAGTCTGACCTATTCATTTCCCTGGGATCAGGTTTTGTTGAACGCCCAGAGAAATGTGCATAGGGACATGAAAATAATAATAATAATAAAAATAAAAAATAAATATAAAATAAACGATGGCACCGTCAGGTTATCCTTCAATCTCTCCTCCTATCCCTCCCCCCCAAAGTCATTCTATTTCTGATGCCTTTGAAGATGGCAGCGTCTCCCTCCTTCCTCTGGTCCATTGGTCACACCGCAGCGTCTCTGGCTCCTTCCAGAAGCCGCTGCCGCCCCCGCTTCCCTTCCCGCAGGGTCCCGGTCGGGATCTCCATTCTCTTCTGATTAACCCGCCCCTGTTAGTTTAACGAGCGTGGAGGGAGAAGCGGCTTTTAAAAACCCCAGGCTTATCAGTGTGGTTTAGACATGCTTTAAATTGATTGGTGTTTTTGTCGAAAAGTTTTAATTTCATTCATTCATTGATTAATGCTGCGTTGAGGTCCAGGATAATTATTATTATTTTTTTGCTAAATGATTCAGGGGTTTCAAGATTACATGTTTGCTTTTTAAAGAAATCAGTACTGGAAAGGTAGCTGTTTTGTTTTCGGCAGATTTTAATACTCTGCTCTCTCCCTCCTTAACAGGCGCCCTGGGCAGTGAGTTATATTAACTTTTCAATGGCCACGGGAGGGGGGTATTTTTTAAATTAACTCTGTGATGGGCATAGGAGTGTTGTAAGACATTTCCCAAGACAGTGGATTTGTACTTTAAGACAACGTGAAGGCAAGCATTTGTTTATTTTTAAGGAGGGAAACACTAATACAGTCGACATAAAACTTGTAAATCACCAAATTTCAATTCTGGGCTTTTTAGGTAGTAAGGAGAATACATCTTTCTTTATAATAAATGGGGGAAATTTCCTTCTTTCCACAGTATTGAACAAATTGATTACCCCCCCCACCCAATCTAAGCAATTTAAATAAAAAGCAAACTCAAAATTTACAGTACTAAACAAATTTTCTCTGGAAGTAAGATCCATTGACATAAATGGGTTTTTCGTTCAAGGACATGCACTTTGATTTAAGTATATTCAAAAAGCCTCCCAGCCCTATGGCAGGAAGCCCAAAGTGCAGTCCTATGTAGACTTTGGGAGTCCATGTGCTCTGTGGCACTTACTTTTGAGTAAACAAGTTGTAGGTTTGGAGCACACGTTAAGGATTTCAGGGTGACTTGGCTTTACTCTCCTACCTCCCCTTCTTTCCCCTATATCTCCATTGATTTGAAACTGAACTTAAATTAGTGTGTTGACTGAAAAAGCATTTGTATTTATGAATGAGGCGGGAGGTTCCTAAAAACCAAACTGGTCCCAAACGCATTTGCTGAAAATAAGATCATTTGAACTTTCAGTGGGTGAGTGAGGCTGCAGTCCTCAGATAAAATTTAATTTTAGTCCATCAGGTGCTAGTATATAATTTCCCCCCTACCTTATTTAGGGTTAGATTGCAGTCTTCAGACTGCTTGCTTCAAAGTTAAGTTATTTTTAAAAGGTGGGGGGGGGGGCAGAGAGGATATTTTAGACTCATCCAGAGAGTTTCATTGTAACTTTGTTACTTCAAATGGGTCATTTGGAGGACTATGACTACAAATCCTTGTGTGCCAAGTAAATAATAATAAATTGAAGCCTGCAAGCACAACCCTATGCATGTCTACTCAGGAGTAAGGTCCATTGATGCCAGGTAAGTGTAACATTGCAGCCTAACTTGCAATGCTACCTTGCTCTGAAAGACAGAATGCACCACTAAGACTTGTTGATTTACAGTGGACCTTGCTTCCTGATTTTTCCCTTAGATATTGGGATGCAAATGTGCTGTTGGCTCCTTGAGTGGGGCTACCAGTGACCTCTCCCTCTCCAAATATCCTCCTTTGAGGCTGGTACCTCTTTTATAGAAATCAACTTACTCCTTTTTGCTCCCCCCACCCAGTCCAGACCCTAAGATGCCTTGGACTGACACAGCATCTTTCTTTCTACAGGACCGTCACGACAGCAGCAGCAATGGGAACCCCAGACTGCCCCACCTCTCGGCCGTCAGCCAGCACTTGTACAGTCCAGCACCCCCCCTTTCCCACTCGGGGGCCTCCGATTTCCAGCCCCCTTACTTCCCGCCCCCGTACCAGCCTCTGCCTTACTCCCAGTCCAGTGATCCTTACTCTCACCTGGGCGATCCTTTCTCCATCAACCCGCTCCACCAGCCGCCACCGCCTCCCCCCAGCCAGCAGCAAACCAGTTGGCCCAGCCGCCAGACCAGCCAGGACCACTCCAGTTTGTCCCACCATGCTCGGTCTGGTTTGGTGCCCCATCTCCCGGCTCTGGAAAGCGGCTCTGCTGGGGTGAGAAGGGAAACCTACAGGCGATCTGAGCTGCTCCTGCCTCATGGCCACGGTCTCGATGCTTCCAGCTTGGCAGAGAACCTAGGACTGCATGAAATGGCCCACCAGATGGAAGAGGTGCAGGTAAAGATTGGCGGAAGTGATAAATGGTGTCCCTGCAGTTCTGGATGCCCCGTAGCCTAGAAGAAAAGCTTTGGTTGCCTCACCAAAGGGAGTCATCTTTAAAGGAAGGGACTGTAGCTGAGTGGTCGAGCATCCACAGGTTCATTCGACCAGCACCTCCAAATTAGGGTTGGGAGAAAATACCATCAGAAACCCCAGAGAGTTGCTACCCATCATTGTAGACAATACTGAGCTAGATGGACCAGTGTCCTGACTCTGTGTTGAGGCAGCTTCCTAAGTTCCATGAGGCCCAACAGAAAAGCAAACACCTGGAATGTGAGCATTAGTAAATCAAACGTGGGAAACTTAAGGGCTGATCTTACTTTATGCTTTTCATTTATACCTGACTTTCCTCGAAAGAGCTCAAGACACCATACGTGCCCCTCCCTCAGTTTGTCCTCACAACAACCCTGTGGGGTAGGTTAGGCTGAGAAATAGTGACTGGCCCAACATCACTCCATGAGCATTGTGGCTGAACAGGGATCTGAACCTTTCCAGGTCAGGGTTGGGGGAATCTGTGGCCCTCCAGATTTTGCTGAGCTCCTAACTTCCCTGACCATTGACCATACTGGCTGGAGTCTAGTCATGTCTGGAGGGTCACCACATGGAAGAGCCATGGAGGAGACTCTTGCATGGAAGAGCCATGGAGGAGACTCATGTGCCCTGTCTCTTGTTCCATAAATGGTCGGCATCCATAGAGTGCTTCAGTGATGATGAGGAAGAGGATGATTTACTTGGTTGGATATGTGAACAGGGTTTTAGTCCCCTAACTGAGGAATTGAGAACTTGTTCATTGACTCAAACTCCCACCAGCCCCTGCCAATATGGCCAGTGGTCAGGGATGATGGGAGTTGTAGTCCAACAGCATCTAGAGGAGCACAGCCACTCCTGACCCTAGTTCAACGCACTTCACATCTAGTTCAATAATTTGCCTTTTGAATTAGGTCAGAATTATCCCTGCATTGCTGAGGAGTGGCTGGCTTAGTGAGTTCACTGCAAGGAGAGATTTGGAGAGTCCCTCCTTCATTCTCTTACAGAGCAGCCCTATGCCTGCCTGCTTGGAAGTAAGATCCATTGGGTTCAATTGGACTTCCTCCCAGCTAAGCACACACAGGATTGCATGCTTGGTCGTTATACAAAACCGTTGCAAGAGAACCCACTTCTGCATTATTGACCAGGTGTTCCTAAAGCACACAGAGAGGTCACTGCAGTGTCTTATAGATTAAATCCAGTCACCTAAAAGTTCCATTTCTTGCACTGTGTTCCAAAATCTGCAGAATATCACCGCTATGAATAGACCATACAGAACAGGCTCTTTGGGGGGTGGGAAACACTGTAGACTGGAGCCCACCATTTTGCTCAGCAAGAAGCTAGATCCGTTTACTAATTTGCAGAACAAACCCTGGACAGATCCACTCCATGCATTTAAAGGACACCTAATGCACATTTTAAGCCCATGACTTACCCCAAAGAGTCCTGGGAGCTGTGGTTTGTTGAGGGTGCTAGGAATGTGTAGCAGTGTGAGGGGCAAACTACACTTCCCAAGATTCTTTGGGGGAAGTCATGTGTTTTAAATGTATGTCAGGTGTCCTTTAATAATTTAACGGTATGGCGTGGCTCGCCTTCCTCTTTGTCCAACATCTTTTTCTTCCGGACTGAAGAGAAGGTAATCGGTCCACAAAACTTTATAATGGTCCCCATTTCGGAAGCCAAATTAGGGCAGCAGAACTGCAGTTTCATTTCTTGTGCACACTGCAATCCTTAAAAGCCTTGGGTGAAATTTATCTCTTACTAGTCGTCCTGAAGTCCTGGTGAAATCGGTGTGCAGTTAAGTGCATGGAACTGCAGTCCTAAATGTGCTCAGATACCCTCTGAGAAATAAGCTAACTTAATGGGACTGAATTCTGAGTTAGCATCAGAAATGGGCTACACACACTAACTTGCATAAAAATAAAGCGCCACTGATTTCAGTAGGGCTGGCACCTCTATATGCATTCTGAAGAGAAGACTGTACACCTGATTGTTGGTCTCTGGTCACTACGTGGGCATCCTATTGGAATAAAAGGCTCTTCTTGCAATTAATATGTTTAGGGTTTAGCCTTAAAGTTAATCCGTAGGTTCATAGCCATTTGGAGGAAAATAGCATTGTGTATGTGCATTTCGTGTAGTGGGGGGGGGGGAGAGAAGGTGGGGTGTATTTTCTTTATTCCACAATTGTGTTCTAAAAATTTCACATTCTCTCTCCAGCATGTGGAAGATCAGCATTTATTAATGCATGACCAGACAGTCATTAGAAAAGGTCAGTAAATCTGCATTCTCCTGTTGGTTTTTCCTCGTGTCTTCTTTTTAAAAAGATAAGAATTTCTAACCGATAAAGGCTAGTTTCATAGTGGTAGATTGTTTTGGAAAAAAGATTTTCTTCCGTGTGGCTTTTTTCTTTTTTAAAAGACGAAGTTTCTGTAAATGAAAAATTGAGCTCCCCTACTCCTTTCCAGTTCTCTGCATGAGCTAGCATGTGTGCCGGAGGCTGTATTCCATATACTGTAACCCATTTACTCCAAAGTAAGTAGGTTGTGGGTTTGACTGGAGTGTGCATTTATTTACATACAGATGCTTTTAAAGGCTGTTAAAAAAAAAATCCAGGATGTGGAATTTGGGACTAATAAAATGGGTTATTAAATTTTCTTGTGGAAACTTTAAAAACTAGTCTGAGCTGTAATTTCCCCAGGAACAGCAAATAACTGTACTTGCCATACCAGGAAAAAAAATATCCTGATGCAACATTCACATGGGTGAACTGTTGCTTTTTAAGCCTCAATATTCTATTGTATGGGAAAGCGATTGCTTCCCCTCTTGAGATTATTACCAAGTTATGGTTTTGCACTGTGCTGATTACAGTATGATTATGTCAAGAGTCTCTGAAATGAATGAGCTTCTATCCCTGAGCGTGTAAGGCAAAAATCTAAGGCTATTGCAGATACTTTTGAATTTTTGGTTCCTTATTCATATGGTCTTTGGAAGCGAAGCAGGAGTGTTTGGCAAGGCAGGTGAATTAATGAAGAATTGTCAAAAGCTGATTGGGTGGCGGGAAGAAATGTTCTATTGATCTAATCCAGGGAAGAGTAGATGTGGATCCCAAGTATTACAATATAGGCTGGAGAAAAGGCTAAGAGCTTTTGCCTGTTATCAAATTAACCAGGGAATGCCACTGTTTTGAAGCAAAGGTCTTTATTCTCTCCTGCATCTACGAGTTTGCTCATGTTGCTTTCCTTTCCTTATTAGAAAGGGAAGACTTGTCACTACTTTCATTAATGACCCGGGTGGTGGGGAGATCTCTGTTGAAAGATACAGGCAAATACACAGATAGGTACAGGCAGGCATGGAGGGAGAAAAGTGAAATTGCCTTCAGGCTTTCTGAGCAGGGAGGAATGGGTTAACCTTGCTGCCCTATTGCTTCTAAATGCATGGGCTTTAGGATTTATCCACAGTGAAAAGTTTTCATTGGTGGCATTTTTTTGGGGGGGGGAACTGATGTGGGGGATACCAGGGTAGATGAACTCCTTGAATCCTGTTCTCTGTCCCTTCCTTCCCTCTACTTTGTTTAAAAATAAGAATCAAAGGAGAGTTTTTCCTGAAAAACCCCAGGGTGACTTGGAAAGGAAAAATGTGACTGAGAAAAAGCAGAAATGTTGTTTTGCTGTAAACTGTGCCGATCTGAGAATTAGCTCACGGCAGAAGTATTTTTTAATTTATTTTTTGCTGTCAGCTTCATGCCGCTTGAGAATCTTCCTCTTTTGATAAAGAAAAGTATTGGGCCTGATTGTTAAACCGTTTCCTGGTCCATACATTATAAGGGGGGGGGGGGGAGGGGACACCGGCCTTTGATTTGGCAAAACATGACTGTTTCTCAGGCACACGTAAGATAAGTTCTACTGACTTGCTTACTTTACTACAGTTCCTGCAATGCAACTGTGCATTTATGGTGGCTGCTTACAAATCCCCCCTCCCCACGCAAAAAAAGCAGGGAATGCATAACTAAAGAAAGAGGATATAGATTTGCATGAAATATGCAAATGTAGATATGAAAAATTATTACTGTAAGTTAAATAAATGCAATGATCTCATGATAGTGGGAAATACGTTTGCTCAGTCTGCTATCCAGGTGAGGGGCAGATTCCAGGTTGATGTTCTCCCACCTTACGGTTCTTTGTTGTTAAAGACGGAGCAGCTGTTCAGACAGAGGATTTTTCCCTGTCAAGTAGGGCATGCAGCCACCCAATGCCATTTCAGGTTTCAGAAAAAGGAAACTTCCTTTAGTTAAATGAAGCTTGCATTTTATAGCAACAATAAAACTGAGCATTTCTGCCAGAGAAAAATAGGCTGCATTGCTGCAAACTGGAAAAGCAGTTAAGCATGCATATGTATGTATTACTCTTTTATCATTAAATAATCTTAGTAGGAGTGCATCAAATGTGGATGGTCTTCTACATTTTTCACTTTCTTACTGTATAGTTTGCAGTTAAAAGTTTCATGAGAACCCCATTGGGAAATGCATCTTAATGGGTTAATAAAATACAGTGGATTTATGACGTCTAATAGATCTATTAAATGTTAAGTGATTTAGACTTCCCTAAAGGAAAACCCAAAAGTGGGGAAAAAAACACACCATCCTCTTTCCCCCCCGTATATCTTGGTTCTCCTAGGTCCTATTTCATTAACGAAAAACAATGCATTAGGTCTCCCTTGCCAGAAGGATGGACTTATCGGCGTTGTGATCAACCCCAACGAAGTATTCTGCTCTGTTCCTGGGCGGCTCTCTCTTCTCAGTTCGACGTCTAAATACAAAGTGACAGTAGCAGAGGTTCAGAGAAGGCTCTCTCCTCCGGAATGTCTCAACGCTTCGTTGCTGGGAGGGGTTCTTCGAAGGTAGGAGGCTGTGATTTCCACCCCCCTCTTCTCTCCTCCCCCCCCGCCCCGTCAAAACTATTCCAGTGACTAGAGCTTCTCATACCACCTCTTAAGCCAAACGGCATGTAAATACCATTTTTGTGTCTCAACAATTTTGCGCAGGGAGAGGGAGTGAAACCCAAACGCTGCATCCTAATGCAGTTTATTTCCAAGCTCTGTGTTCACGCTCTTCTTTCTCTTTAGCACCCCTTGCATTTCCAGAAATGAAAAGTGCTATAACAAGTCTAGAAACAAGTTCTCTTTTTCCTGTTAATGTAACACGTTGCTTCTCAGTCTACAAAAAGAGAATCTTGCACCCATTATTTTCAGGTTTTCTTACTCACTCGGCCGCCTGTGTACCACAGTGTTTAAATGGCGTTCACATAAATTAATAATCGGCTGATTCCTCTCCCACCTTTCAACCCAAGGGTACACAATTTCCAGTTGGCTGTTAAGGATGCCAACTGGCCAAACTTCTCACACCCATAGATACATGCCTACACCCATGTGTCTTTAATAGCAAGTCATAGGTGAAACACCCGACGGGTGAAGCTTTCTGAAGCAAAGTGAGCCATGCTCCCTGCTAATGTCTGTGCACTGAGCTGCTGTTATAGCCACAGCTGCAGAGACAGATCAATAAGCTGGCAACCCCTAGGGGGATCATCAGGGCAGCAGAACTTTGTTGGAAAGATGTCCAGGGCTCCTGCTCAGTGGAACAAGCAAGGGGGTCTCCAATGCAGTTAGAGTTGGCTTACTGCAGGCATAGGCAAACTCGGCCCTCCAGATGTTTTTGAGACTACAATTCCCATCATCCCTGACCACTGGTCCTGTTAGCTAGGGATGATGGGAGTTGTAGTCCCAAAACATCTGGAGGGCCGAGTTTGCCTATGCTTGGCTAACTGCATTTTTAACTAACACATATTGTTATTTAAAGACTGGACCCTCCATCTCCCAAGATCATGAAGTCTAGGGCTAAAAACAACCTCTAACTGCACCCATGGAGAATTCTAACTTGGATAGAGAGAGGAGAGATCTTCTGAGCAAGGTTCTTGGATAGGTTAAAGCACACACACACACAGTGTTTTAAGAGCATCTGTTGTGGTTACTTTCTAAAAAGAACCAGAGCTATTGGCGTCCTTGAGGAATAATCAAAAGCATGTGGTTCGAAACACCAAAGGGGGGTGCTGGTGAATCCAGCTCAGACCCACCCTCCCCAATATTCCTGCTCCTCAAATGGTACTCCTGATTTTGAGGGCCTGGCCTGGGATTGCAATCTTGGTTAATACATCTATGCTTGTGCCGCAACAAATGCTCAACTTGACGCTCCATGCTTGGTAAAAGGTTCAATTTTCATTACGCCTGCCGTAAGCGTAATGATCTTTGATAGTGTGAATGCAAAGGCAAAGCCTATTCTCTCCCCCCCCCCGCTTCCTTTCTTTTTGATCTTGCTTTCTGATGTTTATGTGATGGAGCATTAAAAAGTAGGTCAAAGCTTGTTTTTCCATTCTGACCCCCCCCCCGCCCTCGATTCCTCTCCCCCCCCCACCCCCGCGCAACACAACAAACTGCACTGAATGTCAGTAATTTGGCATTTCTCAATTGCTTTGAAATGTGGCCTCTATCAGGGGTGTGCGGCTAAATAAAACACTGTCCACCTCTTTCCCCCTGCTATTTGCAGAGCCAAATCTAAAAATGGTGGCCGATCTCTAAGGGAGAAGCTGGACAAAATTGGCCTCAACCTTCCAGCTGGCAGAAGGAAAGCTGCAAATGTGACTTTGTTGACATCGTTGGTGGAAGGTCAGTCTTAATTCTTTATTTTTTAAAAAGAGCCTTTCGGGGTAAAGGACAAACGAGGTGACTTGGATGAGCATGTCCTCTAAAGCTGTGTTGTTCCATTTTCAGACTTTAGCCCAAATATTCATATCTGGACTTTCTGCTTCAGCCGTTGCCAACATGGTTCTCTCCAATTGTTTCTGGACTGCAATCCCTGGCTGGGGCTGATAGGAGTTGTGGTCCAAAATGATTTGGAGGATGAAGGGCAGACCCACACCATGCATTTAAAGTACATCCAGCACACCCTTAAAAACTCCTGGGAATGGTGAATTTCCCCTTTGCAGAGCCAAAATCCCCAGTAAAGGTAAAGGGACCACTGACCATTAGGTCCAGTCGTGACCAACTTTGGGGTTGCGGCGCTCATCTTGCTTTATTGGCCGAGGGAGCCGGCGTACAGCTTCCGGGTCATGTGACCAGCATGACTAAGCCGCTTCTGGCGAACCAGAGCAGCGCACGGAAACACCGTTTACCTTCCCACCGGAGCGGTACCTATTTATCTACTTGCACTTTGACGTGCTTTCAAACTGCTAGGTTAGCAGGAGCAGGGACTGAGCAAGGGAGCTCACCCCGTCATGGGGATTCGAACCACCTACCTTCTGATCGGCAAGTCCTAGGCTCTGTGGTTTAACCCACAGTGCAGTGGCGTAGCGTGGGGGGTGCAGGGGGGGCCGGCCGCACCGGGCGCAACATCTGGGGGTTAGGGGGCACAAATCCACGGGTTAGGGGGTGCAAATCCATGGGTTAGGGGGCACAAATTACTTGCCTTGCCCCGGGTGCTGACAACCCACGCTACGCCACTGCCACAGTGCCACCCGCGTCCTTAAAACTCTTATTAACTAATTACAGTTCCCAGGAGTCTGCTCTATAAATATGCACTGGATGTACTTTAGATATCTGGTTCGGATCTGGTTCTGCTCTAAGAGTGTTTAACTTGAATTTTTTGTTTTTTGTTTACCACTACCACATGGTGTGTCAGTGCTGCTGTTGACTTGCGCCCCTCCCAGTTGAAGCCCAGTACTCCAAAATCATTAGGAGGGAGAAAGAGAGAGAGATATAAATGTGGGGGTGCAATTTCACAAGCGTTCAATTGGGGGTGGGGCCATTGATGTAATATAGGATGTAGGCTGCGTGTATTTGTGGGGGTTAACGTTCATCTGAGACTGCGCAGACTCTAAACTGGAAACTGAGCTGCTGCAACTCCATCCTTGTGACTCATCTGTGTGTGAACAAGCAGCTGATCTGTGCTTGAGTAATCGACAATCCCAAGTTTTTATTCATAGAAATTTTTATGGCAGCGCTTCTCAAAAGATCTGGGTAGCCGACGTGTGCATAGTCTCCTTTGTTCCTGTCTCTTCTCCCTCACCCCCAGATTATGTCTCGATCCATACTTTTACCGTTGGCCAAATAAATTTATTTCTAGGATGGGAAGGCAGAGTGTGCTCCATCGTTGCTTTTCTGCAAGAGCTGCGGATGTGGTGTAAGCAGGAGAGCAAATCGGGTAGCCTCTCCAGTGGAATCCTAGGAACCTCTCATCATTTAACTAATTCATTTCCAGAGGCACATTAGTGTGTGTCCCGCCAGACAGTTTGGCAAATTCTTGCGCCACTGCATAACTTTTGATTAAGGAGTTTGATACAAAGCTTTAAGGGGACCAGATCTAGTTGAAATTAATCCATAAATTAAGAAAGTGTCTCAAAAGAGTTTTAAGAATTCGGAATGAGAATGTTCATTCTGATAACTAGCTTAGGAATGTCCCCGAGACAGCAGAGTTCAGTGGTGGAGAGTTCCCAGTAGAATCCAGTGTTTTGAAAGAGCAATAGCTCACCCATAATAAAAGCTCCATCAGCCTCCAATAACCTTCAGATCAGAGAGAACTGTTTCCAAAAGAATTATTATTATTTTTTTACTTGGTGGTGGAGTTTAAGGCGAGAGTGTAGCAGACAGAAAGCACATGCAGTGGTTTACTAACTGAGAGTAATGCTTTATTAAAGCCATGGTTTCTTTGGGATAAATAATCTTTGGGATTGCAGCCATGGGTTCTTTTTAGGTTTTCTACAAATAGAATGTGTGTTTAAAGCAAAAGATTTAATGAAGGAGGAAGGGAGAACTTGTTGGTACTACAATTCCCACCATCCATGACTGATAGCCATTCTGTTTTGGGTTGGTTTGAGTCTCAACAACATCTGCAAGGCCACAGATTCCAAATTTTGGATTTGATAGATTTGCAGTTCCATGTCTTTAAGCACATGGTGTACACCCATTTTAAATAATTAACTGAAATAACTCGGGGGGGGGGGGCCTGAGCTAGTTCACATGTGCATGGATGTTTAACTTTGATGAATGGAAAATGAATGTATGAATGGCGTCCGTTGAAAACAAGCATGTCTGAGATGATGCACCACCTGTCTGTAGCAGCTAATCTATGATGGTTCACTCAACACTTGCAAGAGATCACTTGGTGCACATTCATCACTTTTATTGCAACATAGGCGAACCATCCTGTATTTTCTGAGCAAATGTGTTCCATCACCGGAATGCCGGGTGGATTGAATTCGAATGGGTGAAATATGCTTTGCATCCCACATCTTTTGTTTAACTGGATTGTCTGGGTGGAATCCGGATCCATTAAAATGAATAGTTGCTTTGCTAGTTGTTTTGATGGGAGTTGTCCTCAAGTTTTGGATGAGTCTCTTTTTGGTTCAAGCTGCACCAACCGTATGGGAGGGGATGCGCTGAACTTGTAAGCCAACCGTGGTAGCTTCTGTCGCTGTGCGGCTTTACAAATATCTAAGCGGCTCAGAATTTTGTGTTCATCCAAGCTACTTAATTGTGAAGTAATATTTTGCAATCTCTTTTGACATCTTCCAAAAACAGTCTGGGAACAGAGGCCAATTACAGGATGAGAAGGTAGACTTTGGCTAATTATTGGGGTGGGGGTGGGGCGGGGACGTAGGATGATGCAAGAAACTCTGCCTCAATCCTAAACAAAATCCCTAGAGCTCCAGTCCAAAGAGGATGTTTCTGTATAGACAATTGTCCAAAAAGGGTTTCTTGCTGAAACTTGTTTTCAAGAGAACTTTGTTTGATCAATAGAGTAGCTCAATAAATCTCCACCCTTTTTGGGGTCTGGACCCACCGTTAGCCTAACATGTATGCCGTGGGAAAACCAGGCCATCTCCCCCCCCCCCCCCACGAGAGCATGGCAGCCATTTGGGGCACCTTGGTCTCTTGCACCATTTCGGGAAAAGATCTCTCCCCCCCTGAAAAGTGGTTTTTTTGAGGGAGAGGTCCATGATCTTGCAAGGCGCCCCCAAATGTCTGTGTTTTTGACGCTGTACCCGAAGAAAATGCTTTTTCCTAGCCTGTGATCTCACGTGGCTCACGTGACTTGTGCAGGATTTTGGACCTGGAAGACTGTGTCCCAGATTTGGGCCACGTTGTGTTGGAGGGTATGGTATGTGAGGACTCACGCCGCCTTATTTCCACATATTTATAGGGTGACAATGCTACTGCTGAAACCCTCATTAGGTCAGCCTGCAACCCAGTTAGCATAGCTTTTGTCAACCTGGTGCCTTCCAGATGTTTGGGACAGAAGCTCCCATCAGGGATCAGAGACTGGGTGAGAGTGATGGGAACTGTAGTCCAAATGGTAGATTACTTCAAGATGGTGGGGACCTTCTTGTTCCCTGCTGAAAATCACTTCATCTTCTGCATCATGTGTTTGTGTGTGTGGGGGGGGGATAAGTTGGTGCGCTCACAAAGAGACAGGCCCTGTCCACTCTTGGGCCTGGCTGTGCCAGCCTGTAGCTCCCTATGTATTCCTCATTTCACCCCAGAGATTCTAGTCCTTCATGGTGAAGAAAGTTTCCCATCCCTAGACTAGCTGATCCACACCCTAGAACAAACCAATAGGCTATCTAGAACAAGGGGGTGAGGTTTGTGAGGCCTTGGCCTAATTTTCCTTGGGCAGCAAGGAGAAATGGAGGACACCGCACCTATATTGTGGACTTTGGCCACTGGTTGCACCAGCTTGGTCCCCTGTCCGCACGCAGCCCCTGACAGGCCACCCTCAAGGGTTATCCTGTGGCAGAATTCTGTCAGTCACTGGTTTAGACGAAGAACAAAGAAACCCCTTTTGCAGCCTTTGGATATCAAGGCAGAATTGCTCAGGTGCTATAAATTAAACATAAATTATGAGCCTGCTGGAAAATTAACTTGGACTTTATGGTCTTAAGTAGGGCATATCATGAAAACGGTGTATTATGTAAAATTTGTGCTGCAACTGCTTTTGTTTTTTTGGGAGGGGAGGTATTAAACTAATATTAGATATTAACTTAATATCTAATGTAACTCACCCTGGGACCTTGGGGTGAAGGGTGGGTAATTAATAAAATGAATAAGAAGAGGATGATAATCACAGCTTTATCTTTTCTCATCTTTTCCAGGCGAAGCTGTACATCTTGCCCGGGATTTTGGCTACGTGTGTGAAACTGAGTTTCCTTCCAAGGCTGTGGCCGAATACTTAACTCGGCCGCATCTGGGGCGTAATGAGATGGCTAACAGGAAGAACATGCTGCTGGCTGCAAAGTAGGTATTCTCTTTTTGAACATGAGCATCCTGGACAACCAATTTGTATTTTAGCATTTGTATCGTAACCCTTAGTTCTACATAAAGGAGGACTGTGATCTGCATGTTAAAAGATTTAGGGCAGGCATAGGCAAACTCTGGCCCTCCAGATGTTTGGGACTACAATTCCCATCATCCCTAGCTAACAGGACCAGTGGTCAGGGATGATGGGAATTGTAGTCTCAAACATCTGGAGGGCCGGAGTATGCCTATGCCTGATTTAGGGGATGGTGGCAGTTGTTGAGACTTGCTTTAAGGCAAGGCTTCCTGATATTGCTGGATGGGTCATGCTGGATGGAGCTGATGGGAGTTGAACAATTACCTGAAAGTTTTCCTGTCCGCAGCCTATAGGCTCCTACAAGGACTGGTTCCAAGTTCAAGGGCACTCTGCCTAGTGTCCACAGATGGGTCCCCTCCCGCATCAGTGCATTTTTTAAAAATGAAAGCAGGCTTAGGTTCCTGAAGATGTTGAATGTATATGTTTGCCTGATACTGTCTTAAGCAATGCTACAGAATATTGGAGTGATTTTCACAGTAATAGAGCAAATTGTCTGAATTCTTAGGCTTTTTGACATGCAAAGTTCCTTGAGTGGGGAGGGCTGTTCATTTCCTGGCAGCTCCAAGGAGGGTAGAACAAGACTCATTGCAAAATGCTAAAGAGCTGCTGTTGGTTGATCTCCGTTGACCCTCTGTGGTGCTCCAGATGTTATTGGACTCCAGCTCCCATCAGTCTTGGCCAGCATGGCCAGTGGCTACTGATGATGGGAGTTGTAGTCAAACAGCAGGTTCCTCATCAAATTTACTCATTGAGACTGGGCAAGGCTCTGACTCCGTATCAGCCTGTTTCCTGTGCTCCTTCCGAAGTTCAACAAAGTTGGGTTCAAGCTCACCAAGGTGAATGCTTTAGTTCAAATTAGAGTGGTGGAGTTAATTGCATGCTTCATCTCTCCTCCCTCCCCAACTGAAAGTCATGCACAGCATCCAAAGGTGCTTCTTTGTTTGGTTTTTGCTGATCACCCACCCTCTCCAGTCCAAGAACAAGCTGCTCCTCAAGGGTTTGGGAAGACCTTCTCAGCACAGCGTGGGATGTGGCTTGGTCGGTGGTGGTGGTAGGAGGGCTTTGGTGGAGAATGTTGGAAAATTGGTGGGACTTGCCTTGTGCAAATGGGTGTGTTTCTCATCCATGCAAAATCACTATTCAGCTCAAGACAATAGTTTTTTAAAAGACTTCCATTTTGGGGGTGACACTCGCAGATTGATGGGTACTAAAAGAAAGCGTTTGAGGTGAATTTTGTCTGATGTCTAAATCTACCAAATATTTTTAATTTGAGTATTCTTAAACCAACCTTTCGCTTTTTGTTTCCCCACATGTGTTTTGTCCTAAGATTTTTTTTGTGTGTGAGTGTGTTTTTAATGGAATAGTGGACTTCTCTAGGAGGCTGTAGCTATTTTGTGTTTTAAAAAATGTTGGATGGACCTCAGGATTGCATAGCTAGTTCCTGATACAATAGAGTTTTATGGTGATTTGTGCCAAAATCTGCTTTGGGTACCATGGTGTCTGCTTAGAGCATTTTGAGGTTTGGAGGGCAGCCCGATTTTTACTGAATCCAGTGGTGAAATTCTCTTTGAATGGAGAAAGGATTTTAAGAAGAAATCTGAAAGCTCCACAATGCATCACACGTAGGCTATTGTTTCAGGATGACAGCTTTCCAAAGTAGAGCATTACGTATGTTTCTGCATTTGGGGCTGGATGAAAACGCCTTTTATTTTTAAATGGTGCTTAAAATGTCAATAGGAGGAAATAAGGACCTTTTAGCTTTAATATGTCTTGGCGAATGCTTGCAAGATCAAAAGGCACCACGTGCCTTTTGGAGCAAAGATTCATCAAATCCTAGTAATACAGTGATCCCTGTGGGGGTTTTGAGATGTGAAACATCCAAAAGCATTTTAGGTGCATCCAGCAACACATTTCCACTTACAGCCTGCAAACTTGGTGAATGGTTTGGAATTTGCAGGTATTTAAACTTCTACCGTATTTCTCCAGTGAGAGCTAGCTAGCTAAATTCACTGTCTCTGTTCTGTTGCCTTCCATACCTTCTGCAAAACCAAAGCTGTGGAAATTGTCATGCAACTGTACCTTAAAAGCAGATTAAATAAAGCAGGTCTAGGCAGAAGATCATACGGAAGGGAAGGTTTTCCTTCCAGTACTCAGGGCCTGGTACACTAGTACCACCCTCCAGAATTGAGCCTGGTGGCTATGTGGGTGCTTGTGCCAAGTTATAAGGATTGGCGTAATACAATCTTTTCTTGCTGCCCAACTAACACCCTGGCAGCAGCATTCTGCACTAGCTGCACCCTGTGGACTGTATTGAAGGGCAGCCACACACAGTGCATTGCAGTAGCCCAGCTAAGAGGTTGGTTCACTGATGCCTGACTGTCCCAGCTCAGGAAGTGTTCGTCATGGAACATAGCAGCTTCTTATACACCAAGTCAGACCATTAGTTTGTTGTTGTTTAGGAGAACAGTTTTCCCCAGACCTTTCTGGAGAAGCCGAGGGCTTTACCCGGGGCCTTTTTAAACGCACTCCGCCCCTGAGCTGAGGCCCTTTCCTAAGCCACCTGTGCTTTCAGAGAAATTTTAAAATTTTAATTTATTAAATTTGTATACTACCCTTCATCTGCAGGGCAGTTCACAGGTAGCTTAGGAGTATACTCCTCTAATCTATGCAGCTGCTCCTTTGGGGAGTGTTGCCTTATCCAGGACAGGCCATCTCCCTAATTTCTGTACCCATGAGCCACTTACCCACAGCAGCTCCATCTAATCATGATTCCACTTCAGTTTGTTGGCTTGCATCCAGCCCATCACTGCCTACAGGCACTGGTCCAGGACTTGCACATCTTCTTCTGATTCAGATGGCATGGAGCGATAGAGTTGGGTGTCACTTGTGGGCTATTGCACTCCAAATCCCCAGAGGACATCTCCTAGTGATTCCATATTCATGCTGACTAACATGGGAAACAAGACGGATCCCTGTGGATCTCAAACCCCTTGCCCAAGAAAGGGTGCTTTTGAGTGTGTGGCAGGGCAGTAGTTGCATAGAAACTTGGTGTCCTGTTGAGGAAGATAGTCCTTCAGTACAATGGGCACCTTCTTCCTAAATAAACTACTCTCTGGACCAGTCAGACCATCCCTGCCACATCTTAAAAGCCATGGTGGGCACAAGGGTCGAGAGAGCAAACCCACATACCTGGGCCTCAATAATTGAAGCTCATATTGCAAACTCTGAGCAGATGGTGCTCTAAAGGCCCTCACAGGACCCGCATCAACTGTGGGGTCAGATTTGCGGTGGGGATGAGCGACTCAAAGGCCCCCAAGGGCCTTGATGAAACTTTCACGGTGTGCTTAAGAGTGTTTAGCCATGAACAGTCTCAGATTGATAACATGGTGCAAAATAAGCATTTAAAAACACACACAAAGTAGTCTTATAGGAGGCAAAGAGGTTTGCCCTCCCTCTTAAAATTCTGAGGGCCGATGTAAGAAATTGTAACCTTCTCTAGGAATAATAAAATGAATACTGGCTTCCTCACTGCCCTCTTGAGGTGGTCTTGAAGGTGCCAATGGCAAGTGCGTTGGCGATGTCAGAAACACCTGTTCCTTAGGCCCCTCCTCCAAAAGGCTCCGCCCACACTTGCACTCTACTGAGGTTGATTTGCTTCCTTCCTTGGTGGTGCTCTTAGTGCGCCGAAGGGGTGGCTGGTGGGAAAAATCAGCCTCCCTTCGCTCCTGCTGTCTCTTTTACCACCTCCTTTGCCCTACCAGCTTCTGAGCTTTGCTACACAGAAGAACAGTCTGATTCGGTATAAGATAACTGCTTTTGTTCAGCCTACCTTGTAGGATTGCTCTGAGGATAACAAACACTGATCTGAGCTGTTCAAACAGCTGACTTTTGTGACACAGGAAATGGCAGTTGTGTTCTTCATTTCTTTCAGTTAGCTCAGTGTTCCTCACGCTTGGGGGCGGGGGTCTCCAGCTGTTTTTGGACTACAATTCCCATGATCTCCAGCTAGCAGAGATGATGGGAATTGTAGTCCACCAACAGCTGGAGACCCAAGTTTGAGAAACAGAAAGGTAGCTGACCTTAAAATATATTTCTGTGTTTTAGTATACATGGGGAAGTGATTAGGCACACCCACCTACACACCTGCCTCCTGTAATATCACTCTCTTTCTGATTCGGCAGGCCGTGCCCCCTTTTTAACTGTGGCAGCCGATGGTTTTGTTGAAAGTTAATTCCATGTGTTGTCTCTTGCAGGCAGATCTGCAAAGAATTCACTGAACTCCTCACTCAGGACCGCACCCCTCTTGGCAATGCGAGGCCGAGCCCCATCTTAGACCCTGGCATCCAGGGCTGCTTGACTCACTTCAGCCTAATCACCCACGGCTTCGGGAGCGCTGCAATCTGTGCTGCCATGACGTCCGTCCAGAACTACCTGAACGAAGCGCTCAAAATAGCAGACAAAACGTACATGAACACCGGCGACCAGAGCCCTGCGGAAACCAATAAAAGCATTGAGAAAATGGACAAGCACCGGAAGTGAGTGAGAAAGAGGAAGAAGCCAGACTTTTGTATACTGTTTCTCGCACACAGACTTTAAGATCGTCTTGCCTAGAGGGCATGTAGATAATCTTGTTACAACTTGCTTCGGGGCGTGTTTTTTGTTTTTTAAGCATCCTTTTCAGGCTCCTCTGTGAGATACATGTGTCTCTCTTTCTCTCCTTTCTTTAAAGCTGCTGTTATCCATTCATTGTGGGACCAGGGAACCGAAGATAAACATGAGTACAAGCTTTTAATTTCATTTTTTAAAAGAAAAAAAAAAACTTTTAAACAGTACAAAGTGGTGCTATTTTTTTTCTCCTTGTATGGAAGTCTGTTTAGTGCTGTTTCTCAAAACTGCAAATAAGATGCTCTTTTTCATTGCGTACATCCTGATAGCAGCGTTCAGATGGAACACTAAACCGTGGTTTTTTAATGTTACCTGAAGCCCTGGAATTGAGAACCTCCCTCTTTGCAGTTGCAAGGATGAGATAGGAAGTGTTTGCTTCCTGCCTGACACCAAGTATAGTTTATCCGTATGTTAAAAAAGGACAAACCATCATTAGTGTAAATTAATCTGCCCCAGTTGATGCTCTCTAACTGTTTTGGACTTCAGCTTCCATCAGCCCATGGTAAGAGATTATGGGAGTTGTAATCCAAAATGTCTGAAAGGCATCAAGATTGGGTGCAAGCTATGGTTTGATAATAACAATCGAGGACTATAAACCCCACGCCGACCCGGGTTGCTTCAATAAATCACATGTTTACACACAAATCATTGTTTATCATTCTGAGATGTCACAATAAACTAAGGTTAGTGTTAAACAGAAGGCAAATGCTTCCAGTTTCCCTCTCATGGCTGTGCCAGAGAATAAGAAGAGAAGAATGGGACCATCAACAGGGTTATAAGCAGGATTCCCCTGGTTCTGGAAATCTTTGGAAACCAGCAACAACATAACTCAGTATTAACCCCAGGGTACCTGAAGCCTTGACAAGGCACCCAGGACTGTAAATGTAATGGGAATTTTTTATCCAAAGGGAAGTTGAACTTGGTATAAAGTGAAATAAATTGTCTGATGGTTATTTGAACACCTTGTAACCTCTTGGGGGCTTTTTGAGAGTGATTCAGACTTCTAGGCACAAATCCTGGAAGTTATTGTAATGCAGACTAAGCTTCTGCTGGACTCAAATGAACACAGAGCAGCCAGCACTAAAGTGGGGGAAGCAGAACCTTCAGCTGCTCAGATCTTGTTGGACTACAGTTCCCATCATCATGGCTGGGGATGATGGGACTTGGAGTCCAGCAGTGCCTGGGATACCACAGGCTTCCCATCCCTGCAGTAAAGCGTACTGTAGCAGTTCTTCTTACACAAGGAAAAACTAGTTCAAGCTAAAAAAAAATGCAAAATAAACTTGCTTCCGTTTTTTAAATGCCAGGATATTGCAGCTTTATATATGTCATCAGGTCTTGTGTTTTTAAAATAGGAAAAAAACTTGAAAGAATAGGCACATTTTTTAAATTTTTTTGCCTATATAGGCCAAAAAGTTATATATATATGAATATATATAAATATATATAAATATATCCAGGGAGGTTTTTATGTGTATAAGGGAAAACAGTGTGTTGGAATGTATATATTTATTTATGTGTAATTTAATGGGTCTTGTAAATAATGGTGAACATTTTAATACTTTTTTTTATAAATGGGCTTCAAAATTTAAAATCCCCCCCTTTCCTCCCCAAAAAAGGTAATGGGTAAGCTCAAATACACTGCTACACAGGTCTGTTTATGCTGGGTATTTAAAAGTGACTTTTTACAAAAAAATAAAAATGAAAATCCTCAATTCTTGCCACTGTAGATTTTTGTATCCGATCTGAGGTGTGTATTGACAAAGCAATAACTTTGTGTACTTGGTATCCATTCAAAAGTAGTGTGTTTGTGTGAGTGTGTGTGTGTGTGTGAGAGAGAGAGGGGGGGGGGGAAAGAAGAATGGAAGTCATAAAAAAAAACTACATCCCACTTCACTTGTAAATGTCTTCCTGTTACCCAAAAGGCATTGTATAGGATAATCCATATAATAAAAATATTCTGGATAGAAAGTATTGAATGGTGTTTAACTGGAAGTGGGTTGTGGGGGGGGAAGAGGAAGAGTGTTTTTGCTTCTTATGGGGGATGGGCAGCAGAATACCGAAAATGGACATTGTAATTGAATACACAGTTCTTTATAGTGCATCGAACTAATGGAACAGACATGTGAAGCTGAGTGCCAGCGCAGCTAATGGTTTCAATTATATCAGGAACCATCTCTCTATTGCCATGACTGCTCTCTTCCCCTACCTCCGTCCTCACGGATAACGATGTGCCAAGGCAAAGAAGGAGCCTGAAAGCTTCCTTTAAAAAATAATAAAATAAAATAAAATGCTCAGTCTAATCACTTAAGCATATAAATTCAGAGCTGGCCCAAGGCACTTTGCTGCTTGAGGCAGAGGAGAAGGTGGTACCTCCCTCCCATGGTCAGAAGGTGACTGAGGACCAACTTCAACACTGGTTACAGGATAGCAAAAAACCCCTGCACCATATGAGGGGTGGGGCCTGCTGGCTAGTTTAGGGGATGCAGGGCATTCCTGGCTTCTGCCCTCCAACAAAGGGGAGCAGCCAGGGAGGTGCTGCTGCTGCCACTCCTCAGCTTCTGCCGCCTGAGGCACTTGTCTCCCTCTGCCCAATGGTTGGGCTGGCTCTGTGTGAATTGAATCTGAGGGTTCCAAAGGCACAGGCCTATGGTGCATGTTTTGTTTCTATGCCCATCCCAGCAATTTCTAATGTGGCGATTCCTGAAATGGGAGAGCGTAACCACAGTTCCATGCATTGAAAGCCTCAAGGTTGGATTACAGCAATGCGCTTGTGGGGTCAAACTACCACCAACTGACCTATAAGGCCCTGCACCCCTTGGGATCTGGTTACCTGAGAGACTGCCTTATTTCTTACATCCCCAGTAAGGCACTGGGTCTCCTCTAAGTTTCCCACTCTGTGGCAACTCAGAGCAGGGCTTTCACAGTGGCTGCCCCTGCTCCATGGAATAATTCTGATGAGATATGTCAGGTGCCCATGATCCATACTTTGGAACGTTGTTTTTTTTTGTTCTGACAAGCTTTCCCAGTTGGATGAATAGGTCTCTGCCATGGGCATCCACTTCATCTTGTCCTTAAAAACCCATCTTTGGTTCTTTGTGCTCCTTTTATTATATTTTGTACATCACCTTGGGACCCTGGAAGGATTGGTCCAAGAGCAAGGGAGCCACTTCTATCAGCTGTCTGAAAAGCTCAGCAATTTTTGGGGCGTCCTGGTTTTTACTTTTTGAAATATGGCAACCCTAGACATGGGGAAGTGTTTGCATCAGTCCAGGTGAGAGGTGGGGTAGTTTTGGGTTGAGATGTTCAGATCAGTCTCTCTTTGTCTGCGTTGTATCTCAGTGATTAGAGAGGCGGGTTTTGGGAATTGCGTGTCTGGGCCAAGGACTGGGAGAGGGGGGCTGCAGTCCCAGTAAAAATGGGGAAGGGGAAGATACAGAGGTGGCTGAATGTCTGCAAGGGAGGGAAAAGGCCTAGTTACATCAATTCTGTTCCCACAGCAAACCAAGCACCAGATTGCCTTCAGTTCCTCTGGAGGATTAACTGTCCCTCCCCCTCCCCCTTCTAGCTAGCTGTTAACCTGGCAAAAAGTCATTTCCTTGGCACTGAAAGTGCTCACATCATTGAATTGTTCCTGCTGCGAGGGCGCATCAGGAATTGTCTTCTGTTTTCTGTCGCAACTCTCTCTGAGTTACTGCTCTGGCCTGACCAGCTTCCATTAAGGAGGCACAGCAGGAACACTCTCTCTCACAAAAATACAGAGATCTGGCTCCTGCTAGGTGGATACGTCTTCCTGTCACACATCCTACTCGGGGGGGGGGAGGGGCTGAGGAGAAAGAGTTTGGAGTACAGAAGTTTGGTTCTGTCTAGTTTTCAGCGCTGGTTCAGCAGATCAGGCCAAAAGGAAGCTTTTCACTTTCCCTTAAAATGGAACCCAAATTGTAATTTTCCAAAGCCATGTGAGTTGGTTCACCTGTTTTAGTGCCTGATGAGTGCAATGCAAATTGGTGACCTGATTTGTGGGGGATTGCAGGAGGAGCCTTCTAACGCAACGGAGTTGTTTGCTTGACGTGTCGTAGCTGAAACCAAACCAGTTTGCCCTCCTGGATCCAAGGTGCTGATTTTAAGCTCGTAAAAATCTTCAGCCTGCGCTACCTCCTCTCCCCATATCCTGGTGCCATCTTTATGGAGGGTGTGCTCTGGGCAGCGTACCTTTGTGGCAAGGAAGGTCTGCAAGAGAGCACTCACCAGGTAGCCTGACTCCACCTGCTCTCTGGGTCCGACTTCCTCTCTTTCCAAATGGGTCCATGGCTCAGTGGTAGAGTTTAGTGCCTTGCATGCAGAGTGTTCCAAGTTCCATTTTTAGCAACCGCAGTCAGATTCTCCAAAACTAGAAGCAGGATGACTGCAAGCCATGCCTCCTCTAGAATTCAACTTTGCAAATTGTTTTTAAACTGAAGGAGGAAACTGATACTAAAAAGATGTGTGTTCTGAAAGCTTCACACTAAGCAAGATCATTAGAGGGAAAATTGCACTCCAGGTACACTTTTCATTGCAGGATTTACACAGAAGTAGACCTATGACAAGAAGTAGACCAGTGGCCTATGATAAGGGATGTGGGTGGCGCTGTGGTCTAAACCACTGAGCCTCTTGGGCGTGCTGATCAGAAGGTCGGTGGTTCAAATCCCCACGACGGAGTGAGCTCCCGTTGCTCAGTCCCTGCTCCTGCCAACCTAGCAGTTCGAAAGCATGCCCCAAAGTGCAAGTAGATAAATAGGTACTGCTCCGGCGGGAAGGTAAATGGCATTTCCGTGCGGTGCTCTGGTTTCGGTGTTCCATTGAGCCAGAAGCAGCTTAGTCATGCTGGCCACATGACCAGGAAAAACTGTCTGCGGACAAACGGCTCCCTCGGCCTGTAAAGTGAGATGAGCACCACAACCCAGAATCGTCTGCGACTGGGCTTACTTGTCAGGGGTCCTTTACCTTGGTTTTTTTTTAGACCTATGACATAGTTCTCCTAGGTGAAGCTACCTTAAAGGCTAGTTATCTTCAACAGGCATTCTTCAGATGGCAGGTATAGTCACTGAGGATCTATTTTCCTTTCTCACACACAGGAGGCTAAAGGAATACCCCTTGCAAGGTGGTGCCACCTGTGGCAAGTGCATAAATCATCAAACAGGTATATGCTCCCTGCACTCCCCCACCCCCAAAGGCTGAAAATTTAGGCTGCAGTCCTGTACACACTCAATGGATCCTTTTTTTCTGAGCAGACATGTAAAGGATTGCATGGTCGATCAATTAAAACACATATGAACCGCCAAGAAGTTCCATTAGTTAATATTCTGTAGTAGGTCAGTGATGAAGGATGGAAAAAGAAGGATGAGGTTCTAACTTCTTTTTGTAGAAGAAGACATCCAAATCTTGCTTGAGGAAAGGCATTCTCATTCAGAGTGAGAAATGCTGGCCATAAGGAAAACTGAGCATCATGAAAAGATTAAGAAGGAACTTCTGTCCCTCTTCAAATTGCTGTGTGCTGGAGAGAGAGAGAGAAAGAGAGAGGAGCAGACTTTGATCATACTGTAGTACAATATTTTAAATTAGCTGAACAGAAAAAGCTTGCTTTTTATTAGTGTATCAAGCTAGACACTGCTGTTGCCGTCTGGCAGAAGGAATAGGCTTGTTTCCATTTATTTCAGGATGTACCCAAGCCAAGCCAGTGGATAATCTAGTGGGACTTACTGGTGCATTGTATAGATGAGATTCCCCCCCCCCCCGTCTTAATATGCATGACTGTGCTAATGATATAGATTATAGCACAACCATGTCTACTCTCATACTTAAGAGGCTTCATCTTTATTCTGTTTTTCTTAAAAGTAATAACAATAGAGGAAGAGGAAATACTCCGCTAATTAAAAAATAGAAATTTTATTTCTTACAGCACTGCTGTAAAGGGATTTTTCAAGCAGCCTTCCCCCCCCCCCCCCCACCTCCAGTTTTGCCTTACTCTCAAAGCAATTCTGTAATAATGGCTTGCCATGTAGAAAAATGAGCCAGGGAAGAACTAGGAAAATAAACAAATTCAAGTTCCCACTCTTTCTTTAAGGTTGCCTTCGGATGTCACAGTAAACAATGGTTTATTGTGACAGGAACAAGTCTAGCTCAGACTCATTCACTGGTGCATGAGTCCTCTGGCACAGTCACAAGGAGGAGACTGGAAGCTTTTGTTTCCTTTTCTGATTAACAGCAATTTAGCATTATTTCCAAACTCTAAACTGTGGTTAGTCTTAACTATGATTTGTTGAAACAAGCCAAATTCCTACACCATGGTTTGAAGTAAACTGATCTCAAGATAACCATAGTGAAGATTAACCATAGTTTGGTATGGGATAAACAGCAAGCCGTGGTTAATCAGAAATGGAAGATCAAGTGTCTCATCTCTTCCTTGCAGTTGTGCCTGAGGAGGAGAAGGGCTGTTGGTGATGTCCAAACATCGCCACAGTTACATAATGAAATAATATTATTACCACCAGGAATAGTCCATGCAGGAGATAAGATATTAGTAACCGCCATGGCCCAGTTGCATGTAAAGCTAATCCAAACCATGGCTTTGTGTGAATGACCAAGGATTTGGGTTTCCAGAGTGAAGATAATGGCTGTGGTACTCTTCCATGGGTCCTGCAGGGCTAAGCCATGGTTTGGCACAGACAGCAAAATTAACTCCTTAGTTACAAACTTATTATCCCTGCTGCTGCACTTTCAACAATTCTGCCATTCTGCTCATCCACCTTCTATTGTAGAGATGTAGTGGAATTACCCACATTTAAAAGAGGCTGCATATTGTGTCTCTGCACGAGTTAATGCCCTGGGTTGAGATCCTTCCAGCTGGGAGGTACGCCCAGAAAGGTGACTTCAGCAGCAACAGAGATGGTGAGTCATTGTTGCAATTACGCAGCCTAACAGTAAATCTTTTCAGGCATTAAGACTGAGGTGTGCCTTAATTTTAATTAAGGGGGAGAAGGGTGTATTTCTGCTAACAGGAGTTTGAGAAACATTACTTCAAAGAAATGGGGATGTAGTATATACAAATCAGCTTCTCAAGGTTTGTTAGGTTTGGGAGGAGTGAATCAAATGGTCACATTTGACCATGTTTTAGTCACATAATTCTCAGCATGGGTTCACAAGGTGTAGACTTCGAGGTTTCTGGATGTGTCTGAATAGACCTCTCTTGGTGGTCTTGGTATGAACTGTTTCCTTCCTTCCTTTAATCACTTTCTGTTATAATAATTGTTATCCTTGCATTAGATCAACAGCATCTCATTCAAGTCTCCTTGCTACCACAAAAAACCCAGTTGTACTGAAAATGTATTTGTTGAGATGCTGCCATCTCCCTTTCAAAGAACTCAGGCTGATGTATATGAATACAGTTACATCCAAGCACAGAGAGGGAGAACACACTCACTAAATGCATGGCGAGAGAAAGTCCTACTGCACCTGCTAATCCTGCCTGGACAATGCCACACCCCACCAGCAAGGCTCCCAAATCTCCCCACACTAGCCACAAGGCCTGGAAGAGCAGCTTGAGCAACTAAACACACATAGCACTTGAGCAGCTAAACACACATAGCTGCTTATTTCATGGCTTCCGGCTAACGCGAAGAAGTCTGTCGCAAATGGATTGCAGTGGTGCTAACCCTGTGGGGTACAGCAACATTAGGAGCAGGGTACAGTCCCCCTCCTCCATTGACTGTAACTCATGGTAGAGCACATGCTCTGTGCAAAGAAAGCCTTGGTGTCTCCCAGGTGGAGATAGGAAACTTTGGAGAGATGATGAGCTTGTGGCACAAGCTGGGCATCAGCAGGAAGACCTTTTACTGTGACACTGTCTTGCACATTTGAGTCTGGATACCTCAGTTGGTTACAGCGTGGTGCTGTTAACACCAAGGTTGCAGGTTCAATCCCTGTATGGGACAGTTGCATATTCCTGCATTTCAGGGGGTGGACTTGATCCTCAGGATCTCTTCCAATTCTATGATTCCATCCGCCTGTCCTACCAAGCCACACTGCTAGGGGGGCAATATAGTCAATGGCAAGAGGGGATTGGGAGAAGCGTTATGCTATGGCTTCCCCCACCACTCCTGATCACAGCTTTAAGGCTGATTTTCATTTCTTTCTTTCTTTAAAAAAAAAAAGAGTAACAGCATTTGTATTTCCAAAGCTAATTTGGTCCTGCATGAGCCACTTTTGATGACCAGTTTAACAGTCTCCCATTTTCTTCCCAGGAGCCAAAACTTGCTCATGTAATGAGATGACTTTATGGAACAATGCCATGCCATGACATCGTCCACAACCATCCCCTTTTTTATGAGCGGGGAAAAAATAGATCCCTTAGCGCATTCTTTCCAAGCAAATATAGTATGAAGAAGCAGACCAACAGAACAGGTTTCAACAAGCGTCCTCAAGCAAAAAGCCACACTAAGGAACGGGGGGGGGGGACCTCTGTCCCCCCCCTTAAAATATTTTGATGCCATCCTTTGTTCACCCTAAAGTGGAATATATCGTGAGGACCACTTGTGTGGATGGATAAAGGCTATTAGATGAATTCAAGGAGGATAAGTCTGCTAGTGGCTACCAGCCACAGTCAGCGGCCATATGCCTCTGCATACAAGTTGCAGGAAACCGCAGGAAGAAGAAAAGTTTGGATTTGATATCCTGCTTTATTACTCCCCGGAGGAGTCTCAAAGTGGCTAACATTCTCCTTTCCCTTCCTCCCCCACAACAAAAACTCTGTGAGGTGAGTGGGGCTGAGAGACTTCAGAGAAGTGTGACTGGCCCAAGGTCACCCAGCAGCTGCATGTGGAGGAGCGGGGAAGCAAACCCAGTTCACCAGATTACGAGTCTACCACTCTTAACCACTACACCACACTGGGGAGAGTGTTGTTGTGCTCAGGTTCCGTTTGCAGGCTTCCCATGGGCACCTGATTGGCTGCTGTGAGAAAAGGTTGTTGGACTAGATGCCTGCTGGCCTGATTCAGCAGGGCATTTCTTATGGTCTAAAGCAGTGTTTCCCAAACTTGGGTCTCCTGCTGTTGTTGCACTATATCATCCCTAGCTAGCAGGACCAGTGGTCAGGGATGATGGGTGTTGTAGTCCAACAACAGCTGGAGACCCAGTTTGGGAAACACTGCTCTAAAGCAACAATATGCTTTGTCCATCAATATCATTGTCAGTGAGGAGGATGACTTGGAGGTAAGTACTTTTGTTGTTGTTGTTGTTGTTTAGTCATTTGGTCGTGTCCGACTCTTCGTGACCCCATGGACCAGAGCACGCCAGGCACTCCTGTCTTCCACTGCCTCCCGCAGTTTGGTCAAACTCATGCTGGTAGCTTCAAGAACACTGTCCAACCATCTCGTCCTCTGTCGTCCCCTCCTCCTTGTGCCCTCCATCTTTCCCAACACCAGGGTCTTTTCCAGGGAGTCTTTTCTTCTCATGAGGTGGCCAGAGTACTGGGGCCTCAGCTTCAGGATCTGTCCTTCCAGTGAGCACTCAGGGCTGATTTCCTTCAGAATGGATAGGTTTGATCTTCTTGCAGTCCATGGGACTCTCAAGAGTCTCCTCCAGCACCATAATTCAAAAGCATCAATTCTTCAGCTATCATCCTTCTTTATGGTCCAGCTCTCACTTCCATAGATCACTATTGGGAAAACCATAGCTTTAACTATATGGACCTTTGTTGGCAAGGTGATGTCTCTGCTTTTTAGAGACATAAAGTAACCACAGCACTCCCCAAACGGGGACTTCCCTTCCAGCATGAAGAGGTTGCAACAGAACAGTACACTGATTCAAGTTTCTGAAGCTGGAAAATGTTGCAATTCAAATATTAACAAATTCAAATATATTGATATCATGTTGATATTTGAATCTCTTGCTGCATATCTTTAGGCATACACAAAACCCCCACCTGCAGGCAAACAAAGAGAAAGAGAGAGAGAGAAATATGATGCTAGAACAGCTTATCAGAATTCAAAATCAACTTCCAAAGGTCGAACACCTATTTTGAGAGCCCTATTTGTGCATGTAACTCTTGACGCTTAAGACATGGCCTATGGAAAGAATCTGGTTTCAAAACAATTTTGAAATCTGTGAACTATAATTTTCATTTCCAAAATATGTTCAGATCCTATTTTTTGAAATTGACCTTTGGTGTATATTCTTTCAAAAAGCTAATTTTAAAAGTCTCAGTGAATCTTGAAGGCAAAAAAATGTTTTTTTGGTATTCTGATTTATTTACAATAAAACAGTAATAATCAGACTACTTTCCCTGTTGCAGCTTTATTTTCCCCTCCCCCATGTAGACATGTGTATGTGTTTTACATAATGGAAACCTAAGTGAAGCACAGGCTGTGAGATTTTTATCGGGTGACAGCAAATTCATTAGATCTGGTTTTCTACACTCACACGCCCAGCTAGATTAAAAAAAAGAGAGAAACTCTCTTGCTTGACCTGTTACTGGGCTGCAGTTTATTAAATTCCTGGGAGAGGATATACTATGGGATCCAGATACATGATGATGAGATAATGAGCGTAAACCACATTTCTGACTGGAAGGGCTTGTTGACGCACCAGGAGCCCTTAACTCTTGCCAATCTCAGCGAGGCTTAGGTTTCAGGGTGATGCAGATAGAAACCAAAACAAGCACATCCCATAAAGAAGCTGGTTTTCCTTTACCATCAAGTAAAGCATTAGGAAACCATTCGGAATTGTTTACATCCCACAAAGATACATCTCTCTCTCCCCCCTCCAAATATGGAGATTATTTATCTTTAAATATGTGTATGCCATTTTTCATCTAAGTAATTCGAGGGAGGTTCCCAAAAAAACCAAGTAAATACAATGGGGTGCATTCAATGAAGTTGCCCTGTGTCACAGGAGCAGTAGTAACACACTTAAAAGATGGAGTTAACTCATTATAAGCAAAAACACGATCTCCACAGACTTGATTGAGTGTCATGCTTAATGAGCAGAGCAGCTCATTCCTGGTGGTTTTCCTCCATGAAAATCAGTTCCCAAGACTGAAAGCCACCTTTTCAGGGCTTTCCCCAAGCAACTGGAGACTGTGCTTGTGTGCAGCCAACTTCTCTTTCACCCTTTTCATGCCTCTTTTGGTTCTGGGAGACCAGCCTGACTCATCTCTGCCTCTTCATCCCACTTGCCAGCTTCAGTTTCTGCCTCTGATCCTTAACTGCTCTCTGCTACAGACTCTCCCAGCTCACAAAGCCCTGTTACCTCTTCTGCTTCCAACACCTTCTCTTCCCAGTCTCCCCCTTCTGACCAGTCAGTGTTGTCCCACCACCACTCTGAGCTTTCTTCACTTGGTTCCTCCCACCATTCCTCTGCGTCCAACCAGTCCATGACATCCTGTTAGCAAAGGACATCCATCTGCATAACAAAACTTCCTCTCTTTCACCACACATTCTTCACGCATCCCACCCATATAGTCCAGAGTGTTCCTCAATCCTCTGGAGCATATTGGAAGCAGGTGCCGGGCACCTGGGAAGAGGCAATTCCACTGTGCAGGTGGAAGTCCTTTCGCTAACAGGATGACTTTGTTAGATATAACCCAATAGGATGAATTAGATGTTTAAACTATTATAAAATGCCACCCACCACAGCCACCAATTCCAGTTTGGGAATTAAAGGTAAAGGTAAAGGACCCCTGACTGTTAAGTCCAGTCATGAATGACTCTGGGGTTGGGATGCTCATCTCGCTTTACTGGCCGAGGGAGCCAATGTTTGTCTGCAGACAGTTTTTCCAGGTCATGTGGCCAGCATGACTAAGCCGCTTCTGGTGAAACCAGAGCAGTGCACAGAAACGCTGTTTACCTTCCCGCCGGAGTGGTACCTATTTATCTACTTGCACTTTTTGGGGCGTGCTTTTGAACTGCTAGGTTGGCAGGAGCCGGGACTGAGCAACAGGAGCTCACCCCGTCACAGGGATTCGAACTGCCAACCTTCTAATCGGCAAGCCCTAGCTCAGTGGTTTAGACCACAGTGCCACCCGTTTGGGAATTAAGAGCTAGCAAAGGTAGACAGGTAAATCTGAAGCAGGGCTTGAAGGCTCTTAAAAGGTAAAAGGACCCCTGACCATTAGGTCCAGTCGTGGCTGACTCTGGGGTTGCGGCACTCATCTCGCTTTATTGGCTGAGGGAGCCAGCGTACAGCTTCCAGGTCATGTGGCCAGCATGCCTAAGCCACTTCTGGCTAACCAGAGCAGCGCACGGAAACACCGCTTACCTTCCCGCCGGAGCGGTACCTATTTATCTACTTGCACTTTTTGTACTTTTGAACTGCTAGGTTGGCAGGAGCAGGGACCGAGCAACGGGAGCTCACCCCATCGTGGGGATTCGAACCGCCAACCTTCTGATCGGCAAGCCCTAGGCTCTGTGGTTTAACCCACAGCGAAGGCTCTTGCTGACACATAAAACCTTATACAACCCTGGGCCTGGATATTTGAGATGTATATGGCTTTATGTGTCAGCGACATCACCTTATTTGGCTTAAAGATGGAACCATGCAGCTCAAGAAATATTGCTGCCTGAGGCAAAGGAAAAGATGGCACCTTCTCCCAAAGCACATACAGAAGCCAATTTGTCTGGTAGTTGACTCTTACTCCGAGGACAGTGTCTTCCACTGCTGAGGGCAACTGGCTTGCGTAGGGGTATAGGGCCAGCCACAGCTCTGGCCAAGCCCCGCACCTCAGCACCTGCTACCTGAGGTAACTGCCTCACTCTGCCTCATTGTGAGACCACCCCTGACCCCACAGCATAGCTGCCAGGGGACCAAGAGCCAGTCTCCCAATGCCCCTTTCTGGAACACAGGAGCTGCCAGTATCAAGTATCAACCCAAAGAGTGGATTCAGCTGTGATAATGAAAAGCACAGGAAGTTCAGAAAGAAGCTACGGGGTCACACACT